GAGCCCTTGGTGCCAAACTCGATAAAATGCTTGTTCGACGTCCTATCGTAAAATATACATCATATAAAGGAATTTGTTTTAAATTACACAAATGGCTTGTCCATGAAGTGTTATGACAATAAGAGGRACGCACTAAAGTTAATAATTTGGGTAATTATATAACAATTATGATAATATGTTATAAACTTTTTTTAGTTATGTCTTGACGTGTTGTTATAGGTAGGTAGGTACTCTTAACATGAGTAATAGTTTAATATGATTAATACGTAGGAATACGACAATATTATTAACAATTTTTTTGTCTGTTTTTTTACAGTGTCGTAAAACGAGTTAGTCTACTAATCTTCTTGAACATGATTAAGCGGCCAACGATTGGTCCTTCAAATTTATTTTACTAAGCCGTTGAATGTATCAATTGGTTTATGCCACTTGGTATAGTAAATGTAACAATTTATATTATAATAAATCGTTRTACCTTGGTGGCGCCGTAGACGCTGAGCAGCGGACACGGGAGCTTAGCCGAGACTGACGATACGTTTATGACGACGCCACCGCCTCCGCGTTTAGGAGACGTGTACTCCGTGTCATCCAGCAGTTTCTCTCGGTAGTCTTTTTCCGSATCGTCGCCATTGTGGCCGTCATCGCTGACCATATCGTCGATGATCATCAGTGGCATGACTATGCGGCACATGGCTATGGTCGCCAGAGCATTGCACTCAACCACGTCACGGCACGGATCTGCAGGCGCGTCAGTACAGCAGGGCGCCAGGTCAAGCAGCCGTTCGGGCCGTGTGTAACTCACGCCCGCGTTATTCACCAGCAACCGCACGTCCAAACTGGCGAGTCCGCGACGTACCTCGTCRTAAGTTGTCGACAGCGAGACGGTACCACTGGACGACGTGAAGTCTGCTACGATGACCTTTGTCTTCACGCGACCTACGTGCCGTTCGTCTGCATCACACGCGGATAAAATAAAATATATACCTTTACCACACCACCACAAGATGGTGGGGACGCATTAAGGGAGTGGGAAATCATTATCCATCGCCATACGTCAACCAAGAGACATGATGGCCGATGGGCATTTTTATCGAAGCTGGTTGGTATCACATATTAATATAATATATCTTACTATTACTATAGATATCTCGTGTAATATAGTCGTATAGATATATTATAATAAATTAGGTATATATTTCAATTTTGTATATATATTATTGATTACATTTTACTTATCAAACAACTGTTTCGGTTTTGTAAGCATGCACGGTAAAACATGATTGATAATATTATGATCATAATACTACTGGTAATATAAAATTGACATCTTTAATAATAAAACAGGAGGCTGCTGATTTTAAGCAAAGTCAGACTATAKTAACAAGTTTATTTTATGATGTTATTATTTATGACTATTAAAGTAGGTAAATGATTTTACTACCTATAGTGTAGGTTGAATTTTTTTTTTTGTTCATGTGTAAAACATTGCATTTTAAAATGTAGTCATGTATAGACATTATAAACTATAATAATAAACTTTTATTATAGTTTCTGTATAGTAGGTACCGCAAATAATATTTATAAACTACAAAAAAAAATAACTAAAATCGCGTCATCTTTGTTTAAATATAGTTTCATCCCAATTTGAACTTCAAATGTAAAATTTAGCCAAGAATGAAAAACTCTATAAATGCTAATTAAATGTTTCAATACCTATTGATTCATTGCTGCATCACATAATTTTTACTTGGAAATAGGAGTGCACTATTGTAGACCTGCTATAGAATTCGAAATAGTTTATACAATAATAATAACATTATCACAATAYATTTATTTATTATACGTACCGATCTTCTGTGCTACAGCTAGCAACTTGTGTAAGTTTCGACTGACCAGCGCCACATTCATTCCCCGGTCGGCCAACTAGTTTGTTATGCGTACAACACGTATATAAAAAAATAAAATATTTAAAATTGCTATTTACCTACTCGGTTTATATTTTACTGAAATGATCATTTACCTGCATCGCGAACTCTTTTCCAATTCCATCGGTGCAACCAGTCACCACTATACAGCGTCGAAAGGATTGTCGTCGTTGAACGTAATTATTAGTTTTGCATCGTATCGGCCGAACAATATTCGCACATAATGAAACAGACAGACATTATTAGAGAGATGTAGTCATAATTTTTTTAGTRAGTATACGCTCAAATGTGCTCGATATGTACGTAAACGTGGGGCGAAGCCTAGTACACACCCCTCAGTGTGTACTACGTTATTATTGTATCTATCTCTATTCTCTACAGCATACAATCATACTTCAAGAAATATATTAATGTACAATATACATTTAAATTTTTTTATTATTACCTAATCTATATGTTACCCATGACTCATTATATATTATATAATAGTTGATGATTAAGTAATTTCCAATATTAAGTTTTAAATTTTTAATCAAATAGAATTTTTAAGTTTCAATCACATAATTATTAATTTATTAACTAATTAATAAAAATCAAGAACCTGGATTATAGAAAAATATCAAAAATATCAAATAAAATAGATCTTATTTTCTTCAAAATCTCTATCAAAGCCACTGTTCAATTTAAAAGCATTACCGCAAACATTCACGTATACCCGCGTGGTCGCGCGTATTGTGTGTTATTCTATAAGTATATATTATGCACTTACAGAGAAATAGAGAATAGTGTGTATAGGCCCCACTACACCACTACAACAGACATATCAACCGACGAACCGACAACGAAAAATTACGTCGCGCGAGAATGCGTGTCAAATGCGCGGTGATAACGTAATAGTAAAGCACTTTAGAGCAAATCACGTATGACGTGTTCATAAAATATCTAGACCATTATCCTTCACTGTCAATTATTTTCAAAATTTTCAAAACATTAAATGTTACCTCTAATTTGAATAGATATGATACCCATGATCTATCATATCTGGCAAAAAATATTGTTCTGTATATTATTTGTATGTAYACAGGTAAGCAAACATCAAATACRAAATAAAATAATATTAAAAACCAATCGGATAAAATGTATAGTCAAGAAGTACTCGTTTTTATAATACAATGTAGAAGGAAGAACTATAAYAACTTCAGATTACCATAMWTTTTTTTTAATATTACGTTTATATACATCATCATATAAAACTCATCTGCATAATTATTAAYCTATTAGAATAATATCAGGATGCAGATAAAATATCTATTGTTGTAATTTTATACGTAAACCAAATTAAATAAATAATTTTAATATTAAATTTAGAGGAGACACGAAAACAAATATGCGAGAAAAAATGGAAAGTATACCACCTATATAGCTTTATTTTTTTTATTTTGAGAGTGATAGTATAATTTTRAATTCTGCCAAGAAATGTGAAAAATTGACACGGTATAGTCCTCCTTATATCKGTCTCAGCAAATGCGTCGATCGTATAATAGCTTTGGCGCGCGCCACACTTACCCGCCCAGCTTCCGGCCATCCCGTCAAAGTTGACGCCACCGCAGCACCGACAAGTGGGTGGGGCACGTCTTTGCTTGGGCCCGACGTCGCCGTGGCCAGAGAACAGGGCGTACCGGCACCAGCACAGGGCCCGTCGGCCCWGCCAGCACGTCCACGGCACCAGTAAACGGCGGACGACCACGGCCGTGCCCACGCAATACACGGTTGCGTTGGCCAACCACCACAGCCAGCACCAACACGATGAATCCATCGCACACGACTTTGCTGTTGTCGTCGTTGTCGTTGCTGTAGTTACCGGCACTTGTCGCCGAAGACGATAAAACGGCGACGGTTGTATACGTCTCGAAAACGACCTGTAACCGACGAATACGATTGCGGTGCTTCAATAGTCAATACAGTCTTGCGGCGCGGCGGCTAAGAGACAGCGACCGATTAGAATTGCAAATGTTGTTGTTATCTACGGCGTGGAATACGATCGCGACATAAAAATATAATATTATGAATTATAATTTAACACCGTCGTTATGAGCAACGACAACAGCCGATATGACACGATAATTGTTTTTGTTGTAAAATATATTACAATAATAATAATATGTTAATTAGAATAAGGTACCTACTACTTATATCGTTAGTGTTGTTGTTGCAGGTTGACTAGGCAGTAGCGTATTTAGGAATTTTATAGGTTGGGAAGACATAAGTCACAAATATACCTCCACCCACCCTCTTATACAATTCTTACTTAATGTTAAAATGTTATAAATGTGTTTTTTCTTTTTGTTACATAATACTCACCTGTCATTTTTCTTTTTTTTTTTACTAGGTAGCGTTAAATCCTCGTGGTAACTGGACAATGGATCGTAGTTTTTATTTAAATTTTTTTTTTTTAAATTAAACTTTATTTATTTGAGTAGAGGTTAATGTTTATTACTTTTTATAGCATCTTTGTCGGGACTAAAGGAGTCTTCTGGAGGTGTCCTGGTACTTGTACGCCAGCTCCACAAAGACTAGAAAAAAAAATAGTAATCAGATAAATACCGATGTGTTCTAAAATAGCTTTTTACCGTGAAATAAATAGGTACATATTATTATTAGTCGGTAAAGCACGGTTGAGCATAGGATATTTTATGTGACGTTGCCAAAATTTTGTAATTTATTTTTTTTCTCATAATATTACACCAATTATGATAATACCAAACTTAAACGAGCCACGAGCAGGCCGAGCCCAGCTTTGTCAACAAAGTTACTGATTATTGATTAATAAATTTTAGATGTATATTTTTGATCATTATTGTCACTAGAAACATAAGTTAAATTAATAAAAACATAATAATCAGTAATGTTTAAACTAGTATTATAACAAAAAATATCTAGGTATATTTGTATTTGGTAGTTGACATACTAAAAATTAATGTTCAGAAAAAATCTAATAATATAACAATAATTTTATCGGAGACTTTTAATTTTTACCATATTTTGAATTATTATAATTATTTAAATAGATATATTGTTTGTAGTTCAAAATTGACAATGTTGTAGAGATTTTTATGCTCAATTGTGTAGATTTTCTTTTGAATTTATATATTATCCTTTAATACGCTGACAAATGTATTCAATCGTACAGTCGTAAAAAAGGTGTTGTTCACTCGTTTGTTATTTGTTTGTATAGTCTGAAAACAAATATGTTTGTCATCTCATTATCTGTTATTATAATCATATTTGTCAATTAAATATGGGATTTGTTAAAACGACAGTACCTAAAAGTGGAAAGTAAGTAAAAAATAACTTATAATAAAAACGTGCAAGTGAGTACCACGTTACTGTATATTATTTATTGTTTGGGTGGTGCAGGAATTTTGAATTCAATGATATAAAATCATTTTATATGGAAAACGATTCTGATAGAATACAGTGTGTCAGCTTATTGTGTTAAAATATACGAAATTTTGTGTTATTGGTAAAGTCAGTTGTTATATTATTGGTAAAATAGTAAAACAGTAGATTGAATCAATTTTTACCAAAAACATTACATTTTATATACTAATTTAAAAGTTTCATGAAGGTATCCACTTATAACATTTTTAAATTACCTACAAAAAAAAAAGAAAAACTAAAATTGTTATTGTCCGTTTGAATATCTAGTTTTGTTCAAATTTGAATTTAAAAATCTGTGTTTATTTGATTTTTAGATTTTATGATTTAAATATGAAATACTTATGAAAAACCAAAAAAAATCCTCAACCTTTAACTATAAAAATTAAAAATTGTATACATTTTCAACAACAAAATAATTTGCAAATGTTTATGAAAAAAGGGAGCTAGGATGTATATTTGATATTTTTGAACTATCATAGATTTAATCCTTATTTTAAAACTTTTAACTCCTTGACAAAGAGAAGAATTATTTACTGCAAACAATAATAAAAAAAAAAATTGTAAAAATATAATATGTCTTATTCCTATAATAGTCTCAAAAGTCGTAAACATATTATTTTGAAAATTGTTTGGTTTGTATAAGTGCTATCTGAATATTCGGCGAAAAACATGTATCTATGGTTATTTTTTTTAGTTACTGCAAAAAAATATTTATCATGAATAACAATATTATTTGTTGGTGACTAAATCCTCTATTATTGTGAGCAATTAAATAAAAATTTCTAGTCAGATAGTGACAAAAATAATTTTGTTATGTTTTCAATTATTATTGAAAAATCATGTTTGACTGGTTGGAAATAGCCAGTAGGTAGCTATCTATAATGACACTATAATGAGCATAAATGTTTTGCCAGCTACACTGTATGTACACTACAGCCATACCATTTGTATTACATAATTTATAAAAATAATGATTATTATATTGATAAATGATAGCAACTTACCACGGTAAAATCATAATCAAATACATTCCAAATTAGAACTACAACATATATACGACACGGTGCGGCGGCTGGCGCCGGCGCTTTTCGACGAGTGTAGCCCAAACCAGTCACAGACCGCAGTGAGTTTCGGCTACGTGGCGTTCCACACCAAGTTGTTTATCGTAAATATATGAAAATAAAAGACTTCGGCTAGCAATGAAAATATTAATATTTAATCTAATCTTTGGTAGAATATTTGATTTTAATTAAATAACGTAAAATTAGTTTTAAAATGTTATGATTTTTTCGGTAATAACATCCAAAACACGAAGAACCGATGATTTTCAGTTATCGCGTCGCCGTCGTGCAAATTTATCTGGTGACGACTGTTGGTACCATAGAATAATATTGTATTTATAATACAAAGGTGCCTCTATTCCTATTATGTTTTTCGAGAGTATACCATATTATCAAATATAAACATTTAATACAATATAAATATTTTTTCTTATGGTTTATAGGAGTACAGCCTGTAAAGAGCGTGTCAATATAATATCGAAAAAATGTTAAACCAGATTTTTTATGTAACCTCTTTATATTATATATATATATACATATATTTCGTCAAACTTTACAAATATCAAAAAGATTACGAAAATAGGTACATTGGTAAAAAACATTTTCTGCAACTAATTAGTGATTAATTATGTACAGCACTTCTTTTACCGTGCGGCATACGTTATAGGTACATTTCTTGGTATCTGAGCATCTAAGTAACGACTATGGCTATAGACTATATATAGTGTTTATTCCAGTCATAATTAATTTAGAGGAAGTTCTATAGCGGAAAACTTTGGAAACGGAGAAATTCGGATTGTCTGTTTGCTAAACGAAGTCAAAAATGCAAACATTGCAAACGCCATGATCTAGCGTTTGGTCTGTTTAACTCTATTAACCAGAACCGTGATCGACTTTGTTTATACTTTTGCGGCCATCTACCATCAGGACTTATCACGGTTAACTTTTTTAAACTTTTTATGTCTAATACCACGGTTAAGCACTTATGAATTCAACTTTAAATACGTTCCAAGCGTTAGTGTATATGAATTGTAAAACGTTTTCTGCTATAGAATTTCCTCATAGGGAATTGGTTTGTTATGCCACGCAATCTCCACTCTGATCTCTGGTCTGTTATCGCCCCACCATCCATATAACATCATAATAACAATAAATACCTGCATCGTACAAATAATCTAATGATTTGACGGGAAAAACATACCATTATTACTGTAAAGTATACCCATCAATCATCATAGATATATTTATCACATAATGTGGATAATATGGATAATGATTGAGAGCATACGCAGTATACCCATAATATTGAAAAATTATTTTGCGCCCCTGGTGWATTTTATAAATATTAATGAAAGTATAAAAAACTTAAAAAAAATTAAGTTAATAACTTACATTGCACACAGTTATTATACCTACATAGAAATCTTATTAAATTAATTAATTAATATCTATTTGGAACTTGGAATAATAATCCTTTCTTTTAAAATAGTACTGATAATTGGAATATTTATTGTGTAAAATGTTTATATTTCATTAACTAATAAAYACCTYCTAGTAAGCAACTCCTATATTTTTAGTTATTTATGGAGTACCTATGTATTAAGCATTGACTTATAATAATAAATATATCTTTATTCTTTATTAACAATAAAATATTATTACATATTTACATATTATAAAACTATTT